GAGGGTGAGAGTGTTCAAAGCGGACAATATCACACTAGGGGTGAACTGGGTTGTTGCACCAGGTACTGGCTCTGATACCATTGTAACAGCCCAATTCACCTGTAGTGTGATATTTTTTGCTTTGGGCACTCTCACCCTCACAGTTTTGCCTTTGGGAGCTAGCTCCCAAAGGCAAAACTGTGAGGGTGAGAGTGCCCAAAGCGGACAATATCACACTACACGTGAACTGGACTGTTACAGATTTTGTGGTTGACACTGTTCGGCCATCGATTGTACCCCCAATTGCTTCTCCCCAGTCATCTCCATCCTCCGGTACGCCTTATCCCGCAGCACATTATGTTTCTTGTGATTCATTCTCTCCAGCTTATCGAGCCTTTTCGGTTGTTGTCGCCTCCACTATTGAGCCTCGTACTTTTGCCGATGTCGTCACTGATACTCGATGGCGAGCTGCCATGCAGGATGATATTCGTGCCTTGAAGAATAATGGCACGTGGGATGTGGTTTCTCTTTCTCCTGGAAAGCGTGCGATTGGGTGCAAGTGGGTCTTTAAGATCAAGCATAAGTCCGATGGTACTGTTGAGCGCTATAAAGCGCGTCTGGTGATTTTGCGCAATAATCAGAAGGTCTGACTATTATGAGAAGTTTTCTCCCGTCGCTAAAATGGTTATAGTCCGGTTATCCTTGGTTGTGGCTGCTGCTAAACATTGGGAAGTTCACCAGATGGGTGTTCAATGCTTTTTTTCATGGTGATTTGACTAAGGAGGTTTACATGAAGTTTTCCCCCGATTTTCGCTCTGGTGCTGATGGGCGGGTTTGTCGTCTTCGTCGTTCCCTCTACGTCTCCTGCTGCTGGTTTGCCAAGTTGGCTACAGCTTTGAAGCAATATGGTTTTTGTCAGTCCTATCATGATTACTCTCTTTTTACACTGCATCGAGATCCATCTGCAGGTCTTGGTTTATGTTGATGATCTGATTGTCTCCGGGAATGATACGACTTCCCTGCAGCCTTCAAGAGTTATTTGAGTCATTGTTCTCACATGAAGGATCTAGTGTTGATTAAGTATTTTCTGGGTATCGAGGTAGCCCGAAATTCTTCTTGCTTTTTTCTCTGTCAGCTGAAGTATGCTCTTGACATTATTGAGGTCGAATTGTTAGGGAGCAAGCCCGCTGATTTTCCGTTGGAGCAGAATCATCAGCTTTCTCTTGCTGAAGGTGGTCTATTGTCTGATCCCGAGTGTTTTCGTCGTTTGGTCAGGCGTCTTATCTATCTGGCGGTGACTCGTCCTGAGTTGTCTTATTGGGTGCATATGCTCTCTCAATTTACGCATCAGCCGCATCAAGCTCACTGGGACTCTGCTCTGCGTGTTGTTCGATATTTGAAAGGCTCTCCTGGTCAGGGAATCCATCTTCATACCGACTGCGATCTTCAACTCTGTGCATGTTGTGATTCGGATTGGGCGTCTTGCCCTCTCACTCGGCGCTCTCTTTCTGGTTGGTTTATTCAGCTGGTCAGTCTTCTATTTCTTGGCAAGCCAAGAAACAACCTACTGTCGTTCGCTCTTCTGCTGAGGCTGAATATGGGGCGATGGCTACTACATTGTGCGATCTGAAGTGGTTACGGGGTCTGTTATCTACTCTTGGTGTTTCTCACTCTCTCAGCCTATGCGGTTATACTCTGACAGTCAGTCTGCATTGCATATTGCGGCGAATCCAGTTTTTCATGAGCGCACCAAGCACGTAGAGGTGGATTGCCACTTTGTTCGTGATGTTGTCAGGGTCTCATTACTACTACTCGTGTTGCTTCTGGGAAGCAACTCGCTGACTTCACCAAAACGCATGGGAAGCGTGAATTCGATTTCTTTCTTGGCAAGTTGGGCATTTGAAATCCGCATGCTCCAACTTGAGGGGGTGTTATTGTGTATAATTGTGTTATTAATCTTAGGTTATCTTTCAGTATGTGTAGCCCTAATTTTGTGTATATATACTTGGTTAATAGAGTTTTTGCATCATCTGATTGAGATGATTATTTCCCGAATTCGTCTCGTCTCTTTCGTATTAGGAAACGAGCAAATTGTTTTGAATACATTTTATTTTTGGGAGAAATATGGTAAATAAAATAGTGGCCATCCTTAATAACATCGAGCTCTACTTGTAAAGAACCAAATAAATTGTGGCTACACACTAAATAATCGTGGTCAGATCGTTTTTAATGAGTAGAGAATAGAATAATTCTAGAAAAGGGAAAAATGCAATAAATCAAGTTGCACAAGATTGACAAATCAGGCGTAGAAGAGTGAGTCATGGTTAATATTTTATAATTTAGTCAGTAATGACTAATGATGCTACACATCCACGAGTCACCTTCATGTATCATTTGGCTTCCAATGAAGTTTTAAATGCTCGCCCCTTTTTTCAACCACCCGCATTACAAAGTATTAAATTGAAATATAATGGTCTTGTTACGAAATTATTTTATCGAGTTTTGTAATTGTTAGGTCAATTATTTCAAACGATTACATTATGATTTAACAGTTACAATTAAGACGAAATAGTTTCAAAACTGTGCGTAGAGGAAAAAGATTATTATATTATATGAATAATAGTGTTTTACTACGATCACGAATAAACTAACTGCAGGCTTAATATCTGACTCTTGAAATGAAATTAAGACAAAAACCATCCCATTTGTTCCAAGTAAAATACTACATGTACATAATAAATATACATAAAGATGTACATAACACTCACATGGAGTGGGGTCCACTTGGTTTTTTTATTTTAGTGGGCCCCACTCAATGTGAGTGTTATGTGCACAATTTTAAGGTTATTTATCCAACTTTACAATTATATAAATGAATAAAAAAAATGTACGAGATATATATAGTATGGGACCGGTGCGAGACACGGATATATTTAGTTAGGGAATATTATATTATAAGATATTCAATAAAAGTTTTATAGTACGCAGGAAAATTATACAATAAAATAGCATCTGACAAAAAAAAAATCATATATTATTAAAGACCTCCTTGTACATATACTAAATAGTTTATTAGTAAAATAGTGTATAAGTTGATTATAATAACAAAACAACATTCTCACGGGATTAGTAAAAATATTCCATGAATTGAAGATTTAATGGGATTAAACATTTAAATTAATTAACTTAGACAATTCAAAATCCTTCCAACATTGTTTTGACTTTAATATATTACAACATGTGTATACTTTAAATATATTAATATTTAAGAAACTTTAAACAACATAATTTTTAAAAAAAATTATTTTAGGGAAATTTAAACAGTATATTTACGTCACTCATAAAACAGATTATATTTCAACATCATAGTTATAGTATTATTTAAGGAACTTGAAACAACATTGTTAAATATTTACGTCCACCCATAAATTTTTTACAAGTCGAAGGATATTAATCCCGCTTCTTTTTTATTTGTTTGTTTGTTCAATTTTTTTGACAAAAATAATATCATGGATTAAAAAATTTAATATTAAATAAATTAATTAAATAATATAAAATAATATGCTTTAGACAGATATAGGATGCAGATTATCCTCTCATACCAAACAACGCGATTTCAAAATTGACTCAGATCCAGCAATCCTATCCAATATTTCATATAAATAAATATTAACTAAAATGCTTCAAACATAAATTAGATAAGAAATTTTGAATCTGTATTTTTTTTTAGTATAAATAGGTTTTACGTACATTTTTTGACTTCACCGATTATGGGATTTGTTTTGACTAAATCGATGTTATTATGGAATAAGACAAATAAAAAAAGTTTTTTTTTATTTTTTTTATTTTAGTAAAGATTTTACGTACTTTTTTTGACTTATCGGATGTTATGAGATTTTTTTTTTCTTAAATTGGTTTTTATTTTAGTAAAATTTTTAAAGAATAACTAATATAATTTTATTTCTAACCATCAATAAAATTATTTAATGATGTGATCATTATCTTTTAAATGATAAATAATATTATTTTTTTAAAAAAAATATTAGTTTTATATAATTAAATAAAGGTTAAAAAATATTACTCGACAAATATTAATTATAATGGATATCAGTAAAATCATTGCATAAATTATTTAAGGAAAAAATCTTGAAGATCATATTTGGATAGTAAATGTAAATATGCAAGCATTTAATGCATATAATAAAAAATTTCTAAATAAAGTATGCGTGTGTTGACTTTTCTTGCTACTCTTTTTGATAAATAGGTTGGCTTTTAATATATATATATATATATATATATATATAGATATATAGATATACAACATTATGTACATGTAGCATTACTCTTTTTCCAATTATAAACCTGTGGATTCACTTGTATCCATACATTTTTGTTCCTTTGCGCTTTTACCCTTTTTTCCACACTCGCGCACTTGTAAACCCTTCTCTTCCCTTACACAAATTTCTCAACATATTCTTCCCCAATTCCTATATCAATTTTTGATTTGATCGGTAGCTTGAATTCCTGGTGCTTGAAAGGTAACATCTGCTTCCTCAAGTCCGATTGTTGTATGCGATTTATCCCTGTTTGAGAAAGGAAAATATTAATGTTATCTTGTTAATTGTATTAGTGGAGAGGTTGTTGATTCATGTTTCCTCAGGACAGATTGGTTTCATAAAGGTTCTTTCCAGCTATATATTTATTTAATTTTTTTTTCAATTATAGCTTTTAAGTGTTAGATTTAACATCTGCATATCAGTTTCTTAACTGCTGATGTTGGGATTTGTTAATAGGTTCTAATTCCTTGAAATTCCCTTTATTTTGGTGGAAAACATTTGAGCTTGATAGCATGGGCATGTGATTTCTGGCTAATTATTTTAGGACCTCTAGGGATTTGTAAACTTTGCTACTTTTATCTATGTACTTATTGTATCATACTTTTTTTTGTTTCTTATTTATTCGTCTGATGATACAAACGGAAGAGGAAGAAGGAGTATAGTACAAAAAAGAAAGAGGCAAAAATGAAGGGAGGGAAGAATGGAGAGAAAACGATGGGGCCCTTGTTTCCTAGGATTCATTTAAATGATACTGATAAGGGGGGCCCAAGAGCCCCTCCAAGGAACAAGATGGCCCTTTACGAGCAGCTTAGTATCCCTTCTCATAGATTCAGTCGTCTATCGTCCAACCTGAATTCGAGCCAGGTGAAGATTTTGTGAATTTTAGTTGTCCCGTTTCTTGAATATGTTTGCCTTATGATTTAAAGTTTTGGTTAGCCGTATTTTCATTATTTAACTGATAGTTTTGAGTTGTAACTTCTATGTTCTTCCCTGCTTGCTGATTCTACACTAGAATGAGAAGCTCATAGCATTTACTGGTATAAGCTATAGGTTGGATTAGCTAATTTATTTTTTTTTTTATTTTTATTTTTATTTTTTTTTTTTTTTGTGAAATTCGAGGGTAAAAGAAAAATTAGGAATCTAAAGCACTCTCCTTTCATTTAAAATAATAATTGCATTATGTGGTATTAAAATCAGATGTTGGAATTTCAAGTGCTCTTGGAGTTGATTTGGAAAATTTATAGGATTTTACCTGGTATTTGTATGATCAATTTAAGGTCTCTTAAGTTCATGTAGCAACTTGTGCTTACATACAGGGCAGTGTGAGTGACAAAGGCCCATATTTCTCTCATCCATTGCCCCCAGAGAACCCTCACGCGAGGCAATATGCCCAGCACTCGGACTTAAGCATACCATCACCACAAGTCGAGCAGGCTGATAAACTGGATCAAGATGATTTTTCAGTTCCTATTTTCACCCGCCCTGTATCTAATAAAAACCAAGAAAAGCCCTCGGCCTCCAGTCCTACTCATAATCATCATCCGTTGAAATCACAAACAGATAAAGACACTGGCACGCCTGAACACAACACATCTCGAGAAAGTGAAAATAAAAATGGGGAAATTTTTGAAAATTGTAGCCTGTTGGATGATATTGCTGCCGGTGATCTTTGTAACGGCCCAAGTCGGAATGTGAACTTGGAGAGGGGAGACTCAGTTTCTGAGGATTCGGTTTTGGACGTTGTGTGTGAAGTGAATTTGACGCCCGATGATGTCGTGGGGGTAATAGGGCAGAAGCATTTTTGGAACGCCAGACGAGCTATCGTTAAGTGAGTTTTCTGTTGCTTGTTATTTTTGTATCTCAATGTTTTGTGTTTACAGGTGCAGATTGAATTTTAAATGTTTTCCGTGCGTGGCAGGGCATATTATTTGTTTATTGGATTGGGAATATGCTGGGATATGCTTGTGGAAATTTTTTGAGGATATGATGTTCTGTAAGAGGAATATATAAGTAGCTGAATTTTTATTTACTTGTTTTAGTTAGGGCAGTGATAGTTTTACCTTGTATAGATGCAGTTAATTATCTCATATGCAACTGGAAAGTAGAATACAGAGCATGAAAATATGCAAGCAGTTATAGGAAGCAAAATGAAATTTCAGTAGGAAAATGATAATTTATTATTATATTTAACTCTTTTTCACTTCTCATTCACTCTACATAGGAGCATTTGTATTGCTTTGCTCATTTTCCTGCATAACATGCAAATTCTTCCATATGCATTTGTAAAATTAATTCATTCAGCATTTAATCCGACTAAAGGTCCATATAGGTTTCATTTGTCCAATATAACTAATGTTGGATCTCAACTACATCAACATACTATGGTCTTCTCATGATTTTGTGGTGATTGTATGTCAGTGTTCCCTGCAAGATGGATATTTTCAACTAAACAAAAATAGGTCTTCTTAGTTTTATCCAGAAAATTTTAAAAATGTTAGCAAAGATTTGGTCCATGAGAACAAACAAAGAATCAAAAGTACATAAAAGTGGCTGGAGAATGATTTAAGGGTCCCTACATTTTAGCTGCCGTTGATTTAACCATTGTTTAGCTCGCTGACACCAGTACTAGTTAAGTAGATGTTTTGTGCAATTCGAGTAAATGCTTTGTTTGCAAAATTAAATGGTGGGTAAGTTTACTGGTGCAGAGTAATAATTTCTCAAAGTGAGAAAAATATTATTTCTTCAGCCACCTTCACATGTATTCTGGGGCAGCTCATAATATAGCATGGTGGGTTCATGTAAGGTGTGCACGTTTAAATCAAGGTAAGTCGATCGACCATCTAATAATCTCTGCTTATTATCTGATG